AACAGGCCACAGTATCCTTCATTCATCCGGATCCAGAGTGAGACAGAGGGCCATGAGCCCATGGAATACTGTGAACTTGGGTGAAGGTGATGGGGCACTTTATTTAGGTCCATCCGTGACTAATGCATCTATCTACAGGTTCTTGGTACTGGAAAACAATAGCAAAGCAAGGACAGAAGGCGCATGGAAACTCTTAGTGTCTTTTGCTTAGTTTTGCCATGAGCAAAACCTGCTCCTTTTTGTAAAAACAATTTGTTTAATTTTTATTTTATGTGCATTAGTGTGAAGATCCCTTGGAATTTGTGTTACAGACAGTTGTGAGCTGCATGTGGGTGCTGGGAGCTGAACCCGGGTCTTTTGGAAGAACTATCTTAACCACTGAGCTATCTCTCCAGCCCCCAAACCTGCTCTTTCCAAATGCCTAACTTAGCAGCTGGAGAGGTGGCTCAGCAGTCAGGAGTGTGACGGCTCCTGCAGAGGACCTGAGCTCAAGCACCCACATCCAAGCCACATGCAACTCCAGCTTCATGGGAACTCCGACTCTGGCTTCTGTAGTATGTGCTTTCTTGCATACATACCCATACCCACACATACAGATAATTAAAGGTATTTTTAAACTTTATTTTAGAAGTGTGTTCAGGGACTGGAGACCTTGATGAGTGGTTAGTGCACATGGTTCTTGCAGAAGACAGGAGTTTGCTTCCCAGCATTCACATCAGGCAGCTTGCTTATAGCACCAACTCCATGGGTCCAAAGCCCACTTTTGATCTCCATAGGCAGGTGAATATATGTGCATATATATATACACATATACATAGATGTATATATACACACATACATATACAAAATTTTTTAAATAAAAATAAAATATTTTTAAGAAGTATACTTTCGATGTAGGGGCGGGCTGGAGAGATGGACGAACAATTAAAATTGCATACTGCAGCTAGCATTTGGGGGACAGAGGCATCTGAGTTTGAGGCCAGCCTGGTCTACATAGTGAGTTTCAGGACAGCCAAATAAAAAAAAAAGGAAAAACAAAAGAAAGAGTCCACACTACTCTTGCAGAAGACCCAAGTTCAGTTCTTAGCATCAACATCAGATGGCTCACAACTTGTCTGTAACTCAGGCTCCAGGGGGACCTGGGTATCTGAACTCAGATACATGCACCCACACATGTACACATAATTAAAAATAAGTAAAAATTTAAAAGACAGGAAGACGACTTTAAATGTTCTCACACGCATAACAAATATATTTGAGGTGACAGGTTATCAAGTCATTAGCCTGATCTGATCGACCCAGAATGCATGGTGGATGAGAGTACCACATAGCATCTCACATATACAAAAAAAGGTTGTTCGTTAATCGAAACTAATTTAATGGGGAGATGGCTGAGCAGTAAAGAACATGTACTGTGCATCCAGGGGATCTTAGCTTAGTTCCTAGAACCCGTTAGCGCTGAGGGATGCAGACATTGTCTGTTGCTCTCCCTGTGGGCATCAAAACTAACACAATACAGACACATATAGATCAAAATGAATCACATAAAAATGAATAAACAGTTAATGAATGAGCAGAGGTCAATTCCTAGCACCCACACAGCGGCTCATAGCTGTCTATAAGTGTGGTTCTGTGGGATCCAGTGCCCACTTCCTCTGCACAGATCAACCTGCAGGCAAAACATCTATACCACACAAATAAATAAGTAAATAAAGTTAAAACGTCTTTCAAACGTTGCATTGGCACTACCACCTACAGAGAGAGTAATCATTTGAGCACATGCCTGTAGTGACCCTAGACTTTGAGATAAACACATTTTCTTGAGGTCATTTGTTCTCTGTTGCTCCACCACACCTGGCTAGTTTACATCACATTTAATTAAAACACTTATTGTTTAAACATTTGCCTATTTTTAATAAATGTTTCCATTCTTGTTCTTTTTATTTTTGCTGAATTATTTCCTTAAATTATTCATTTGTTTATCTACTAGTTATGTATGTGGGACAGGATTTTAGATGTCCAGGCTGACCTTCACCGTCATATGCATTCAGGCATGATATTGAACGTCTGATCCTCCTGCCTCTGCCTCAGATGTGCTAGGATTCCAGTCACACACCGCTCTACCTTTCTATGTGGTCCTGGGGGTTGAACAGAGAGCTTCGTATGTGCTCAGCCAGCACTCTACCTGTTGAGATACAACGCCAGCCTACTTTTGGAATTCTCAAGGAGAGATGTCACCAAACTGGAAAGCTAGGCTCCTAGTGTTTGCTGTGTATTGTCACTTTTGCCTCTATGAGGGGCTGCACACATCTATAGTCACTGGCTGAACTGTAAGATCATACCAATCTGTCACAACCTCATCAAAATTGGATGTTTTTATTTATAATTTTTAGCATTAAGTATGTACATATATAATTAAGCATATATATGTATTTATATATATAAAGTATAATACATATATATACTTAATTATAATTATATTAAGGCAAATTGTACATACATACATACATATATATATATATATATATTACTGCTGAATTATATATATTACTGCTGAATTACTGCTGAATAAGTTTACCCTTACTTGTTCAGAGACCAAGGGAAAAGCCAGGTTGAGTAAGTCAGCTGGGAGGGGAGTTTGAGTTGCAACAGCTGAGTTGAACCAGCCAGCCCAGAGCTCATTAAGAACAAGAAACGGTGAGTTTACATAGCAGTGAGTCTCAGAGGTTGAAGACATTCTAGGCCTAGGTTAGATTGTATGGAGGCTAGTAGCTACCAGGACTAGGCCTAGGCTAGCAGACAGGCAGCTAGCCTCCGAGACAACAAATGAAACAGGAGAATGTAAGTTCCTTTTTCAGAGAACACTTGGACTCTTGTTGGGAACCAGCTACCAGCGCCCTTGTTTCTAGGAATTGTGTGATGGCTTTTCTTGGTTGTCAAGTTGTTAACTACATCTGGAATCAACTAAAACCCAAAGGGCTAGGGATGCCTTTGAGGGCTTTTTTTTTTTTAAATTAAATCATTTGAAGTGGGAAGACCCACTTCTAATCTGGATCTTTGAGGTGGGAAGATATGGCTTTAATATGGACTACACCTTTCGTGGGTAGCCTAAATAATACAAAGAGCGTGGAAGAAAGAAATTCGATTTCTCTTCACCTGCTTGATCTTTAAGTCACTGGCAAGTCCGTTCCTTCACTGTCAGCAGAGCACGCTTCTTCAGGATTCCGGCTTTTACTGAAGGCCAGCTGACACCATAAGACCTGGAGTCTCACTGCTCAGGATTGTGCCCTTCCCAGGAACTCTCACAGACCACAGCTCGATGCAAAAGCAAGAGGTTTTATTGCTATCACGATAGAGCCGCCCGTCCAAAGACAGGAGACAACCCCGAACATGCAAAGCACAGGGTTTTTATACCTGAAAATCAGGTCACTTTTGCTCCATAGTTTACAGCTGGTTGTAGATAGTTTACAGCTGGTTGTTTCTCAGAACAGTTCACCCTACCCTTCAAGAGCTCTCTGCACCTGGCTTCAATTCAAATAATCACAGTTGTTTCTCATTCCCAGCTGGTCCCTCAACACATCCAGCCTTGTGGACTGAACGACTACTGGATTCTTGGGCCTTCCATGGGTAGACAGTCATTGTCAGACTAGCTGGATCACAGCCTGCAAATAATTCTAATGAATCCGTGTGTGTGTGTGTGTGTGTGTGTGTGTGTGTGTGTGTGCATTCATTCATTCTATAAGCTCTGTTCCTCTACAGAACCCTGGCTAATACACACTGGGAGCCTGGGAGTGGGAAGAAGAGCAAATGAGGTTGGACTTATTTACTAGTTTCCTTTTTCTGTTGCTGTGCTCAAACAGCATGACCAGACAGTTTATTTTGGCTTATGGTTTGAATGGTTTAGAGTACATATCAGTGGGGCCAGCATGGCAAAAAAGAGCAGGCCTGGTTGGCGGGAGCAGGAAACTTTCACCTCTTCAAACTGCAGACATGAAGCAGTCAGAGCAAACTGCAAGTGAGGCCTTTTATCCTGAAAGCCTGGCCAGGTGAGCTTTCTCCAGTAAGTAAGGCTGCGCTCTCTAAGCCTCCGCAGACAGTGCCGCCAAAGGACAACGTGTTCAAATGCACAGGGCCCCGGGGGACATGTTACACTCAACTGCCACATCTGGAGAGCCCCCGGGCCTGGGAGAGCCCAGGGAACTGACTGTTGTAGACAGCCAGGCCGACCCAGTGCCCTCTCCCTTATGTTTTGCTCTAGCAACTTGATGACCATTTATTTGGTGATTTGTTTGGCTAATGCAGAGCTATCTTCTTATCAGGCTCCTCATTATGTCGGAATGCAGTCCTGGAAACCCCACAGGGAGCAGTCACACCTGTGACCTCACTTGACCAGGACAGCTATTCCCTAAGGGATAGATATCATTATTCCCATGCCCAAAGCTCAGGAAAATGTCAGTCTTGTCATGATGAACCGTGCAGGGATGGCCAACCATTCAGAAAGGCCACATTAATGGAGTCCATCCTGTCTCAGCTACTGTGAAACAGAGAAGTGCAGGGCAGTGAGTGATGGTCCTGCCCCTCCTCCACCCTGGCCTCCCATCATGAGGGTTAGGAGAGAGCTCCCAGGCTTTTGTCTCCTTGGATGGCTGGCTGTGGCCTTTTGTTGGTGGAGGAAACACTGAAGGTCTTTGTGTATAAACAATGGTTGTTTGTTTTAGGAAGCATTTTCGTTATCTCAAAGGTGCACCTGGGACTGTCCCCATACAGGAGAGGCTCTGAGCCTTAACCCAAGCTGGGTGTGGTCACCTTGAGGTTAGGGAAGAGTATAGAGAGAGACCCTCAGCCTCTTAAGACTCGTGTCTACATCAATGAGTGTGGGTTGATTGCTCTTTGTCATTGCTGACTCTAGAGAAGGGTGCTTGCCTCTCCTCACTGTTTCTTTTTCGTTCTTGTTTTTTGCTGTTGTTTTACACTTACTTATTTACCTATTTTTTTTCCAGGGGAAGCACACAGGTGTGGAAGGACAGATTGCAGAGTCAGTTCTCTTCTTCCACCATGGCTGAGGGTGTGTGTGTCTAGGAACAGAGCGGTCATCAGGCTTGGCAGCAACCACCTTTACCTAATTCGTCATCTTACCGTCTCACCGCTCTGCATCTTGAGAGAACGAGGAGAGTGCAGAGATTAAGGAAAAGTTGTGGGACTTTTGACTGGACATTTCTAAAATTGACAAGAAAAGAGATAGGGGCTGGAGAGATGGCTCAGAGGTTAAGAACACTGGCTGTTCTTCCAAAGGTCCTGAGTTCAATTCCCAGCAACCACATGGTGGCTCACAACCATCTCTAGTGAGATCTGGTGTCCTTTTCTGTCTCAGGCAGGCAGGACACTGTATAAATAATAAATAAATAAACAAATCTTAAAAAATACAAAAAAAGAAAGAAAAAGAAAAGAGACAGACTGTATTTAAATCAACCACCCAAAGCAACAGATTGGATTGTAGGGGCTGCGATGAGAACCCAGCCCTCCTCTGTTCAGCCAGACTTAAACGATTCTCAGTAAAAATGTTATTTTATTTTGTTTTAGAATTCTCTACAGAGCAGGATATCCCCCCTCCCCCAAGTCACTCACTCCATTTATGCCTGAGCTATTTGTACCGAACAGCAGCTTGCTTTGGGCTTCTTTATTTTGAGAACAATCTTGAGGTAGAAGGAGCCTGCCTGCTGTTTACTTGGGCCTGATTTACAGAGTAAGAGACACACCGAGTTATAGGACGGATGGCAGCAGAGGGCTCCAGGCTGCTGGACTTAGCAAACACATCAGGCGAGTGAGCGCTGCAGTCCCCTCCTCAAGACATGTAGAAGGAAAAACAAAAGCAAAACAGCACATCCCACTGTCGCTCTGCCACAGACTGTCAGGTGTATCCTCACAGCCTACATATTCACGTACCTTAGGCTGCTCTCAAATTTGCTATGTAGCTAAGAATGACCTTGAACTTCAGAACATCCTGGCTCTGACTTCTGATTGCTGGAGTTATAGATATGAACCCCCCACAGATAGCTTTGTGTGGTGCTGGGGGTCAAATCCAGGGCTTCCTGTAAGCAAGGCAAGCACTCAACCAACTTTATAAACTACGTGGCAAGGCCCTCCCTATAGCTTTTCAAAATAAAAAGTTACTCTTGCTGACATGTGTTGGATTTGTAACCATCAATTTTTGAATGACTTAATTAATTGGTAAGTTTACTGAATCACCTAATAAATAAACGTATCTTTCTCAGTTTTTAATTTTATTTTACTGTGTGTGTGTGTGTGTGTGTGTGTGTGTGAAGTCAAGTGTTTTGCTTGCATGCATGTCGGTGTACCATGTGTGTGCTTGGTTCCCCAGAAGGTCAGAATAGGGTGCTGGAGGCTTGGAATTAGTGTTATAGATGGTTGTGAGCCACAAGCAGGTTCTGGGAGCTGAATCCAGGTCCTCTGTGAGAGCAGCTAGTGCTCTTAATCACTGGGCCATCTCTCCAGCTCCCCTTTTTTCTTCAGTCTTAATTTCTGGTGAGGTAATGACGTGTTACAGATAAACAAAAAGCACTTTGGAGTTCTCAAGCATTTTAAAGTCACAAAGGTGTTAGCGTTTCTGCAGAAGACCAGAGCCAAAGAATGCCACAAAGATCACACTATGCAACAGATCTCACACGAGAGATTTATTGGGACTGGGGGACATAGAGTGAGAGTGAGCCGCGATGGTGGGGACCTTTTAAGGGGCATATGTGTCAATGTCGAGGCTGCCGGCGCTGAGTCACTGAAGGCAGGCTTGGGGGTAGGGTGGGATGCCTGGTTCCTAACAGTCCTCCCTTTTGTTTATCACAAAAGGTGAGGACCTGGGAAGGGCTGATGGTGAGGCATGAAGGGGGTGCTGGGCTCTTTAGACTGCTTCCTGCTGTCTGGACATGTCAGCACCTTTAGGGATTCAAGAAAGCTGTGTTCTGGCCAAGTCCTGGAAGAGCAGGCTGCTTCACTCTCTGTTCAGGCTCTTAAGGATCACCTGGGGCTGGGAAAATGCAGGTGGCAGTTGGAGTAGTTTGTGAGGCTGGGCCACCTGGGGCTATCTGGGATGCAGATTTGAGGGAACATCCGAAGAAGTCTTCAGTTAGCTTGAAATCTGTGAGAACAGAGAGACTAGGGAGAGAAGGTTAGGTGAAGGAGTTTAAGGAAAAAAAAATTTGTCCAGGGTGTGCATTTGACTATCTAAGGGGTATTGAGGCCAGATTCAAATGTAAAGGCAGATGAGTTTAGAGGTCTTTAAGTAGGGCACTAGGCGGAGGAGTAGGGGTTCTCCAAGAGGCTTCCCAAAGGAGAGCAAGGAGGTGTGGATAATACAGTTCCCATGGCTCAGGAAGAGAGGAAGGTCCAAAACCTGAAGTCCAAGCCATCCTCAGGTTTCAGGGGGATGGACAGAGGAATACACAAGCTGTTGAGAGGATCATCACTGCACTGATAGGGTCAGAGGCTTAGTGACTTTGTGCCTGGTGCCAGGACTTTCAAACAAAGCCCAAAGACAAATACCAAACTAAAAAACGAAGCCTCACCCAAGGGAAAGATTCATCTGTAGCCTTAAAGACGGTGGCTAGGGGGACCTTGGCCTCCTCCAAGAATATCAGAGGGGTGCTGGACTCAACGGCCACTCCCTTGGATCCAGGGAAGAGTTCACACAGACCTAAGGGAAAATTGTGCCTGGATTTGACCATTTCAAGATACAGATTTTATGCTGTTTGTTGACTTTATGTCTACACTTATTTTCTTAGAAAAAAATTTCTCTGAAACATTCACCTGACACATGTAGTCGCAGTGAAGTCCTCAATTGGGACATTGATTTAGTTGCATCAACAGGATTAAAAAACAACTTAATCGCAGGGCCCAGCCTCCTCAACATCCAGCTTTTATCTCTTGCTCCTGCTGCTGCCTTCAGGTCAATGCTCCAGCCAGCATGAAGGACTGAAGTAGGAAGGAAATAGTGCCCTTTTCCTTTAACAGATATGAGCTAGCAGCTAGAAATTTGTCATTCCACTTCTATTTACATGCTCAGAACTTGAGGGCTCACCACCCCCAGCTGCGAGAGAGGCTGGGCAACGTGGTGTTTAGTTGAAGAGAAATATGCTCCAGGTTACATTCTATTACTACAATTTCGAAGAATGGTATGAGGTATTGCAATCTGTGTTGAGAACGATGAAAAAAGATCATATCCATTTGGTACTAAAGACAGGAATACTTAATGGAACCTGGGGAAACTGAGGTACTACCTTAAGTGATTTTCTTGGAACAAAACCACTAAGGACTTTGGTGAAAACTGAATTTTTTCATCCATCAGATTATATTTCAGTGCCTAGGTAAGCTTTTGTGAAACTATTATCAGAGGCTGCCTGGTAAGCTCGAGAAGGGAGAGTTACAAAGTGATTTATTTCACAAGAAGGTAGGGGAATAAAAAGATCTCCCCACCACACACCTCCCACGCTGCCTCAGAGAAGTTCTGAGTAGCTTGTTCTAGAAGGGGCTGCAGAGAAGTCCTTCAGAAGCACTGTGGGACAGATTTATAGGGTCAATGATGCCCAAGGAACTTCCAACTCTACTCCTCAGGCAACAAACCGAACAGTGGAGGCTGTATGCCAACAATGGCTGTCAGGGCTGGCACGGTGTGGGAAGAAACTCCCAGATGGCTGGAGAAGCATCTCCAGTGCTTGCCTTCAGAGTCGATAAACTTAGGAAGGAACAGTTGGCTTTTCAGTGTCAAAAAATTAGAGGCATGCAATGGCCAACCAGGAGTGCTCTGAGCGCACGAGAGGCCTGTACACTTTCTGCCAGAGGTGACCCTGCTCTCCAAAGGCCATTGTCAATTCGTGCAGGGAACAGATGTTGCTCCAAGGAGAGGCTGGCTAGAAAGATACACCTATGTTCTGTTCGGTTATGACTGGGGGCAGGGAAGGCACGCTGCCTTGGTGGCCTTGGTGGCAGCTCCTGGGAAAGGAATGCCCAAAGCACTCTGCTGACTGGGTGTTACTCAGAGCTGGGCTGTCTCCTGGCAGTTTGAAAGGAAGGACCAGACTGTCAGGTCTCCCAGCACAGGAGTGCATAAAATCACATTGCTTTCCAAGCTCCTGCTGCTGCTGATTAATAATAATTACAACATTTATGCTTATTTAATAATGATGCACTCATGCCCCGCCCAGGTCTGAGAGAGATGTGGGCCACCTGACATTAAAAAGCACAGCTATAATAGAGCACCAGTCACCAGAACGTGAAAGACTTAGCAAAAGAAGAGGCAACCATAGAAGGAAACTTGAACTAGAAACCTTAAGAGACAAATACTGCAAATGCTGTCTGGGGTTCCTGGCAGCCAAGACAAAGAAGAAAGCAGAAATAAATGGCTGAGTTTTTAGGACTGAGTAAGAAAAGTGGCAGGTTAATGAGAAGATGCTCACTCTAGTAACAGCTGGCTTTGTTGGTTGGAACTTGAACTACTCAAGGGTAAAAATATTGCTAAGAAAGTAGAGAGCTATTTTGTATTAGTGTGTGTGTGTGTGTGTATGTGTGTGTTTATGTGCGCTTGCGTATACAGTTAGGAAATAGAAACCAGGACCTTGTTCATTCTAAACACAGCTAGGCCATACCTTATGCCCTCTGGACATTTCTTTTATATGCCTCCTTTAAAATTCTTATGTTAATGTTTTTGTTTTTTCAAGATAGGGTTTCTCTGTGTAGCCCTGGCTGTCCTGGAACTCACTCTTTAGACCAGGCTGGCCTTGAACTCAGAGATCCACCTGCCTCTGCCTCCCCAGTGCTGGGACTAAAGGAGTGTGCCACCACTGCCTGGCTTACTCTTATCTTGTCTGCATGTATGTCTTGACACTATGTGTGCCAGGAGCCCATGTAGGCAAGAAGGGGGGGGGGCTGGATCCCCTGGAACTGAAGCTACAGAGGGTTATGAGCTGTCATGAAGGTGTGGGGACTTAAAGGGCCCACTAGCCATTTCTCTAGCTTTCCATTCTTAGTATTTTTCATATTTTATGGGAAGAAATGGGGATTTAACTCAGGGCCTTATGTACACAGACAAGTGCTGTACCATGGAACTACAGTGCCCTTTGAGATAATCTAGCTTTGTTGCCCATGTTGGCCTTGATTTTCTAATCCTGTTTCAGCCTTGGGTGAGTTCAGTTCATAGGCTTGAGTCATACACTGGGTTTAGAAGATGGCTCTTGACACAGATTCATTTACTGTTACCCATTTGACACCAGAATGAAGACTTTTTAAGCTTCTCTGACGGTGGTAATCTTTTTTAGCCTTACCAAGTACTTTCTCAATTCATCTTCTGACTCACTTATTAAACCCTTCAGACAGAGTTTGCTCATGAGCACACCTTATAAATGGGCACACTTCTGAGTATTTGGATCGACTTTTGGAAGAGTCAGAGCCCTAATTTAGGGCTGTAGAGTATTTGTGCAGTGCAGAATGGTGGCTAAATCCCTGGTCTCTAGAGTAAGGCAGACATGAGATAGAATTCCCTTCTGCCTGTTCTGTGACTTTTGGAGAAGTCAGCTGGCCTGGATTTCAAGTTATCTACATAATATAACGTATGCCAAACCTAGTCAATCGCAAGTACCAGCCATGGGGGTTACTGTGAGTCTTAGGCACTCGTGAATTTGACCTGAGGCTACTACAAGTACGAAGCCCTTCAGCATGTATAGAGGAATCTCATTTTTATTCAAGAAAAAAAAAAGTGTTCTTTGATGGTTTATGAATGCCTCTTTTGGTCTCTGACTCCTCTAGAGCAGTGAGAGTTGACTGGGGTGAGGTCCTCAAACAGGGAAGCCTTATTCTGACACTCTGGCGTTTGGCACACACCTCGCCCTTCCACTCCCTGGCCTCATGTAACCCTCAAAAGTAAGTAAAGCGATCCACCCCTCCGCCGGACCTTAAAGGGAGAAGCAGAAAAGGCTAACCCCACCCAGCGCAGGCAGCCCGCACCCCAGCAATGAAAGCAGGGTCTGTAGAGTTGCCCAATTCCTATCGCAGATGGTAGAGACGGTGGAGGAGAGGGCTGCCTCTCGCAGAGCCCGAGTTTTGCCTGTAACTTCACTCCTTGGATATGTTCTGACCCGGGATCCAAAACAATGGGTCCACTGTGGAGGCAGGCAGATCTGCGTTTGTGTCCTGTCTTTATTAAAAAAAATTTTTTTTTAGCCCAGGGCAAGTCACAAAGCTCTCCTGAGATTGGAAAATGGGAATTATTAT